TTGTATTTAAACTCCATAAACATGAGAAGAATATTTTAATTATTTTTTAATGATTTTGTTCATATATTTTTTTAGTTCGATAAAACATGCATGTACGGAGGCGTCCGCGAGAAACACATGCCGTTAGAAAGTTGTTGTTGGCAAGGAGAAAAAAAGGTAAAAGTATGTATTTTGTGATAATTCAATAATGCTTGATTGTTATTTACCATAAAGGTACTAGTAGCATTGAAATCATAGGATATTACAAAGAAATGTCACTATCTGCTGATAGTGACAGTTCTTTGTCTAATTAGTTGTGCGATATAAATCGTCATAAGTATTGTAGTTGGCGCTGGCGTCGGTTTTGGCGTCGCGCGTCGTGAGCGAGGTGGTTGGTTCGTGCGCCGTTTATCGAACATCGCTCCTGCTCGATGCATCGCCTGTCGTTATTCAGGAATGTCTTGCTCTTGTCTTGTTACGTTACAACACAGACACGCTGCGACCTGCCCTTTGACTAGCCGCGAAGAACCAGGAAACTGTGTAAATTAGATTAAGAATCTCCCTGTCCGTTTTGTTCATTTGGGTGTCTAATAGGTTCGCTCAGTTTTAGTTTTTAGCTGCTGACTACATTCGACATTTTTATATAGATGTCTTGCCACGCTAAATTGATGATGACAACACGTTGAAGGGACTCGTTTTATGTCAGTCCCTTATGTAAACAGTCCCTATTAGCTCTACCAGAATAGTTTCTCGTTATCATAGTACGATTTGTGTAGTGATAACAATATACGTAAACGTGGCGATGCGGTCGGCGGCAGCGTAGGAGTGTTGGTACGTGGTAATGGATGCTCGTGCGCATAGATAGGATCGAGACTAGGATCGTGACGCGGCGCGCCCTGCGACACCGCCGCCGCCGCTTCCCACTACAAGGTGAAATGGTTATTTTTAATGTTTACGAAATAATATATTTTTATCAGCTTGTCATTTATTTCAACTATAGTTTCAAGAAAATAATGTTTTCAAGATCTCTTGTTCAGCCATTAAATAACCCTTTTTGCAGTCGGGGACATAGCGTAGCACTAGTAGCAATAACATCGACAGGCATTCGTTGTTACATTATATTATGAGACACTTTAATTTCATATTCGAAAAATGTTTCAGTCCTTCCATATTACGCAATAAATAACGAACTACACAATTAAAGAATTTAAAATAAAATTGAGGAAAACAAACAACAACAACAGACAAGTTAATTATAATTTATAATATAAAACAATATATAATATCGATGAACACTTACCGGATAACGCGGCGGATGGGCCGAAGGATTCCGACACTGAATTAGTACCTACTCGTATTAAATTAATTCTTATCTTTTCCATTAAAGTCTGTGTTAATTCGGGGACACCACATTTTATTACATATTGTGTTGTAATACTTGTAATTACACGTTAATTCTTAGTGTTGTTTATGGCTAGGTAAGTCTTCCTTCCGGGACCAGCAGAGCCCTTTTTATTAAAAAAAATCTTCATTGCATTTTGACGTGGTGTTCCGTATTTGCATATCCTAAGTTATATAAATTATATACAGACGAAAAAATCCATTTGTGTCCCTGATTTTAATAATTTTGTTCCATTCATAATTCTCATAAGTTTATCTAACCTTCCTCAAAAAAAGTTTGTTAGGTAAGTACTAGGTCAAGAAATAGGCGTGTTAAACCAAACCACATACCTAGAGCATCATAAAATAAATGTACATAGATTTCATTAAAACAGAAGCGCAATAGAAATAAAATACGTTTTACGAGAATTAAAAGTCTTTACAAACGTTTATTTATTAGGGAAAAGGAAGTAAGTGCTTATTAAAAGTGTTTTATTTATTTTACGTACAAAATGAAACCTTGTTTGATGAACCCAATTGAGGTTGCAGCCGCGTAATGTTTGTTTAAAGTGTAATTAAAACTTGATAGCGATCTCTCTAGGTTAAGACCAAGTACAGTAAAGTGTTCGTCTGTCGACCGCTAAATTGGGCTGGTGCGGCCATTCATTCACTTGAAAGATCGAGCTAGTTGCTTATTTAGCATCTTAAAACATCTACTTTAGCCAAAATGCATTAACTTAAACTATACATTTTAAGTTATCGAATGGATCTAATCGGTTTATCTAGGAACTGCTAAACTGTTTAATGTTTCAACAAGGAAAATAAGGTTATTGTACATAATTATTTGTTAATGTCTTGCTGCAGGCCACTTTTTTGCTTTGACAGCTTTGAGTTCCAGCAATAAAGTTCTAACTAACACAGCGCCTGAAGACAAAAGTAGTGTCTTTTTTTTTAAAGGGGTAAAATCATCGAATGACTGCTCCCGCCTGGGTGAGGCGGGAGGGAGTGTCAGACTCTTACTGACTAAAAACCACCCCGTTCCTTCTCCTGCACGTCGAGCCGGAGCCCCGGTTACCCGCTAGGTTATCCGAGACAAAAGTAGCAAAATTAACCAAATTTAGTTATTTGTTCATGCAATCTATAACTATTCGATATATTAGTTACTTCAAGTAAAAGTAAATGTTTGTTAACTTGTTCAGTTAATTTATATGGAAGGATTCTTTTAGGTTGATTCTGTGATATGATCAGCACCTTTGTGATCAGAGCGTATTTCACACAGATCGCATTACAAACTAAACTTTTGAAATTAGTTTGTAACGAATGAATATAAAGAAAACGATGTTTCCAGCCGAGCAAGTCGTGGCAGGTGATAGGAGAGTTGGTGCAGCTGGTGCAACTGTCAGTGACTGCGACAGCCCTTGCTCTGTACTACCTCATCTATTGTTATATGCAACTGGTGTACTACACGCTTAGAAGTGCCCTATACTTCCACAATGCCGACGGGTAAGATTTGTTCATTGTTTGTAAATGATTTTCAGCATAATTACTGAATTTTAAGGATGAAAATAATTTAAGAAATTTTGGAGTACCAAAAGTTAAAATACATACAGCTGTAACATATTGGTAGGTATACCATAACGTTATTAGCGATTTCATGACGATATGTCCTTAGGTTTTGGACAGTCCAGTCTCTTTAGAATCTGTTTTAGAAGTTCAGGAGTTAAAGCCTGATCCAGGCCAGAAAACTGAAAATCAATATTCTTTATAATAGCCTGATTGGCAATCATGCTTTCGAACCGCTTGGGGTTGAAACTTTAGGGCCGTGGGGCCCAAGTGCACATCTTCTTTACAAAGATATTGTAAGGAGGATGGTTGACACTTCAGGTGATCGAAGGGCTGGCTACTACCTTGAGCAAAGGTTAAGCATTGCCATTCAACGTGGCAATGCTGCCAGTCTTTTAGGCACCCTACCTCGATAGCGATGAGAATTTTTTTTCTTTAATGTCTTAAGATATTTTTTTTTATTATTTTTTTAAGGTGTGAATATTTTAGTTTTAAAATATTTGTTATCAGACTTTTGAAACGTCTAAAATTAAATTGCCCGTCCGATATTCCTGTATGATTTTTATTCAACAAGTACAGGAATCATCACATTTTCGGCATTTACGGTTATTTACTTTGGAGAAGAGGTCTTGTGTAGCTACATTTCACCAGTTACGTTACCACACAACAATTATATATATTACTTGTAATAATAACAATTTGTCTTACAATTGTAGTAGTAATCAGTTGACTCGGTAACCTGGAACCTTGCCAACAGAGTAATTTTAGTCTTTAACAAACCGTACGCATGTCATGTACGGCTCTAATTTTAGCAAACAATATTGCATGACCCCATCCCAACTGATGTAACATCGTTGGTCCGATGTCCTTGAACTGTCTTCTGGACTCATATAATATTTTGGCCATTCCCAAACACAATCGCAGAAGAGTTTTCAGACATTAATATAATGCGTTACTTATCACTCGATACGCATCTTATCTGGTATTTGTCGGCATGGAATAAGGTTTAAAGACTGCCTCGTGCGTCGACTGGTCGCAAGTGCGACTGATGGGCAAGGGGTCTAGGGTTGTATTTCCGGGTCGGGCAAAAGTCTTATTGGGTTTTTTAAAAATCTCCGTAGTAGCACGGAGTCTGGAACTGTGCCTAGTATATGGCAATAGGCTCAACCCCTATTACATGGAACTCATAATAGAAATAGTGAAAAGTGGGTGATACATTGTACAGTGGCATTAAGTGCCGTAATGTTCACCTCTGCCTACCCCTACGGGGATAAAAGGCGTGATGTTATGTGTTATGCAATAAAGCTTGCGTTATGGTTAACCGTGTGTGTATGAGTGTACCGTAGGTCTAATCTCTGCCGCCTACCGGCCGGCAATACACTTATAATTCCTAAAGGGTTTTCATGGGCGTCGCCGATTGCTTGCCAAAGGGTGATCGTTTACCGCCCTATTTCATAAAATAGTTTGGTATCAAATGTTATTTTTTAGTTTTATTTTTTACCTTTGCATCACATTTTTATTAGTTTAAACCATCCGCTGATCTTCATAGAATAATGTTTTTAACATTTTTCTCTTTCAGACCAATGAAAATCACAATTGGAGTAGTAACACTAACGTCTTTAATAATTGGGTTTAACTTGATGCTCCGGATGGAGAGAGTACTCGGAATAATTTACTAAATTATTGTGTATAGCAATTATTTCAACATATTGTACAGCTTGTAAAGACTTTATAATCAATCAAAAGTAACAAAACCAAACGAAGTGAGTTAGGTAGTTGCCAAATATAACAAATTTATTACAAAAGAATCCAATAACCGACCGAAAATTTAAGAGTTTTGTTTCTTTTACAAAAATAAAAATGTTACTACTTAGGTACTGTTATTAATTTATTGAAGAACATTGTGCTGTAAATTAAATTAAATTTATATCATATGAATAAACCTGTTGCGTTAAAGTAGAGCTTTTAATACAATGATTACCTACCTACAGGCTAATTGCCTTTGAACTCTGTCATTAGTCGGGTTGGATTGAGCGTGACTGAGTTCGCACCTGGACGTTGTTTCCTCAAATGGTTTTGGAAGTGATTAAGGCCCCCTCGCGCTTTTGTGCGGACTCACCGCAGCGGGAAGCATTACGCGGATGAGGAGGCACGTTGGAGGCTGAGTCGACGACCAACACTTGATGGTCAGACGTCGCGAGAGACGGCCGCGCACCATTCTATTGTTGCCGACTCGATTGTTGCAAGCCGTCGCGAACTTACGCACGCAGCACTCACGCGTAGTGATTATCGATTAAAGCTCGAATCGTAGTGGCAGTGTTACAGTATCGAATGAACAAGTGTGAATCGTGTATCGCTTAGTGCAAAATGGTGCTAAGTGTCAGGTAACTAGAGTATGGAAATGTGAAGGTTTCACTTTTTCAGTTTGCTTTTATCTATGTGTTTTACTTTAAACTTGTCGTTTGAGGATAACGAATATGGTGAATATAAATTGGTAATAAGAGCATAAAGTAATGTCATTTAGAATTTACAAGGCCTTTAGTTGTACTGAAGATGGTTCCAATTTATGTGCATGTAAAATGAAAACGTTAATTAAACAGACCAAGAAATTCTATGTAAAATTATTTTTATTTTAAAACGCGTCTGGAACAAATGATATCTGCCTATAGGGACAGGAAAGAATTCCATTCAAATCCTAACGGCCATCAGACAATCAATTTCATTGCCAAAGAATTACAGTTGGACAAATAAATCAATAGAAATAAGTAAATTCGCGACGCTACAGCAAAATTATATTTGTACTAGTTCTGTGACCCGGCTACGCTTGAACGGAATAAAAGGCATGGCTTATTTGCATCGGAGTTTCAGAACGATTTGAGCAGCTGCCGACTGACGCAGGCGCAAGTTTAAGGTCGTCAGTTTACCAAAAGATTCGGCTCTTTATCGCAACACTATTTATCGTGCTATTGTTCTCATTTCCAATGAAGTTGCATTTACTAGTAGGTATTAGTTTTCAAATGGAAAATTTCATTTTTCACAATTTCACAATGTTTCATGAATTTGCTGTAAAGTGCATCATATTTTGATATACTCTTAAAACGAAATGTGTCAACTAATTTAACAGCTAACTTATTGGGGCATTGTGCAACAGGTCGAATTTTCCAATTTAATAAGGCTCATGGTCATATCATTTCAGTGAATGGAAAAAAATATCACCTATGGGTCTTAACACTGAAAATGATACCCTCCAGTCAACCAATAGGCTGAAAGTGATACGATACAAAAAGCACATGGCATTCTTAATGATCAGACTGCCTCGTTGGCCTAGTGGTCGCAAGTGCGACTGCCGGACAAGGAGTCTCGGGTTCGATTCCCGGGTCGAGCAAAGTACTACTGGGTTTACAAAAAATTCTCAGTGGTAGCATGGAAGTCTGGAATTGTGCCCGGTATATAGCAATAGGCTCACCCTCTATCACATGGGACTCATAACATAAATAATGAAAAGTGGGTGTAACATTGTCCAGTGGCATTAAGTGCCGTAACGGCGACCTCTGCCTACCCCTTCGGGAATAAAAGGCGTGATGTTATGTCTTAATGTTCAGTGCCTGGAAGATAGAGCTTCACGCGGTGTTTGTTTAAGTAAGCGACATTTTCTAAAAACGAAACTTGGCTAGATCGATTTATCCCCCGAAATTCCCTGAATACAAAATTTCAATAAAATTGTCGGAGTCGTTTCCGATGTCGTTGATACATAATGTGTATATTATTATACAAGCATTGCTTATTTAAAGGTATTAGACGTATTTGGTTCCGTTCTCAATATAAAAAAATCGAGATTGAGATTGAAAATGATTTGTGACGTCAGTTATACAGTATAGTATAGTGTCTGTCAAATCAAGGTCGATCCAGAGATTTTGATTTAGGATTTGAAATCGTACTCACATATCTTTTTTCAGGATCTCTTCTATTAGTATTTCAGATGTTACTTGGTAGCTTATTTCTATAATATTCCATAATTCATAAATTAAAATTACTAATAAATTAAAATCTATGATTATAATAATTCTAGATATTAAAATTAAAGCTAATCTAACTTCATAAGGAATAGTTTAAGTTACTGCTTGTAATCCATCTAATAAATCATAATTAGAATTAAGATCATCCAGCATTCTATTATTTCTGTAATAACTAAATTTTTCATTATGTAGGTACTAGCTATTCTCGCGCTGCTTCATCTGCTCTGCTCGGCTGCTATTGGTCGTAGCGTAATGTTTTATGATCTATTATATAGCTTTCTTCAATAAATGGTCTATGCAATACAAAAATAATTATTCAAATCGTACCAGTTACGTAGTTACGGAGATTAGCTCCTAATTTATTTTATTGACTTTTCACTTTGAGTTTAGGGTTCAAACAAACAAACTCTTCAGCTTTATATAATAGTAGCTAGTACCTATATAAGATTAAAAATTAAATTATTTATTTTGAACGAAAAAAATTTGAAATTTTACTTTGCTATGAGCTTTATTTACTACATCGGTCGTGTACCACAAGTGGTAACATCAGATAGGAGCGATATTCGTGATGTTCAGTATTTCTAACGCAGGATCTGCGCAAGCGCCGGCGTTAAGATTACTTATAGCTTTTATGTGCCTAGAATGTTTATAGAGCGGACAAAAAAAATTGAGTATACATATATTTTTATAGAATAAGTACTTATGTAACACACATATTTTATAAAACACGTACACTAGCTTCAAAAGGTACACTTGTCACTTACATTGCTTATAAATGAGAAAGTTTGTGAGTTTGTGTATAATATTACTTACTCAATCACGTCGAAACGGCTGAAGGGATCGTTTTCAGACGTTCTGGAATAACACATTGGTTATTTTTTTTATTGCTGTGCGAAGCCGTGCGCGGCCTGCTGGCAGAGGCTAGAATTTCATATCTCTGAAATAGTAAAAAGTCGTATTAAATGACATACCTATACTTAAACTGTCAAACACCAAGCGGTCACCGGTGACCGCAACCTATTGTTCTATAATTGTGTCTATAATGACGGTACTCGACGAGTTAAATGATAAATCGATAAACGTAACACACTAATTATATCGGAATTCCACTCGAATTTAAAAAGTAACTTTCGCTACCTCCTCCCTAACGTATACTATAATTATCGTTCCAATGTTTTTTGTTAAATTCTGTGTTATATGAACGATAAACTAAGCATTAGTGCTTAGTCTTTAAATCTAAGGCGATTATGCCAGACTCATCGTGACCATGAGAATTATTGGACTAGCGAGAAATATTAGGATCTGTCCAAACTACATACGAACTCATAGATCTTAACAGCACCGTCACAGTGTGGATTGGACAGAATGTACTGAAGAGCATCTATTTCTGCAACATTAATGTTCAACTCTTTAATTAATATTTCTCTCTCTATTTTATATCGGACACGTTCCAATAGTAACAGTAACAACATCTTCAATTACTTCGCATGCATCACAGTTCGGACTGCTTGTTTTCCTCATTAGGAAACTGAACTTGTTGTGAGGAATGTGTACAGACCTTAATCTATGCGCAGTTACAATATATTTTCTACTTATTCTAATGTCCACAAACCAAGGAATACAAGGAGGTTCACTCTGTATGTACAGTGCAGTGTCTAATAGATTTTAATACAGGTACATTTAGATATCTTTTCGTCGTGGTATACTAAAAAAAACTAGATACATTCGTAAATCGGGTCCGATAGAGTTTTACATTCTTATGTTTTTCGAAAATCATTTTTACTCATAGCATGCAATTTGGGATTGTGCCCGGTGTAAGGCAAGGTGAAAGGCAAGGCTTATAGGATATGAGTTTTGAGTGCCATAGCTTCAAATGCCATGTGGATACTTCATTACTTGGGATGATTGAGACACATAACTGGCGAAAGTGGATGTTACATTATATGTAAGCACCTTTACTAACACCATTTTTAGCATTATATTAATAATATATGAATATTTATTTTAATAAGTTAAAAATTAACTTAATTAATACATAATGTGTAGCAGTCAACTTTTGGGAAACGCAGGGATGAAAAAAACTTTTTCGGTTGGCAATGTCAAATGATTAATTAAAATCATATGGAAATAAATGCGCGACGTGACTTTGACTTTACCAGGAATTAAGCTCAGAAGACAGTAACTGTATTTTACATTTTACCGGACCGAGGCATTGAAAAAGAAAAACGCATTTTAAATTATGTTTAACTGTATTTCTTGGTCGATGGAAAGTGTTCCGATACTCTCGCTAACTTTATAGGAATGTCGATATTGTCACGACTTCGAGGCAAACACGAAAATTTATAGCAACACTTGGTAATCTTATCAATGTTCATATTTTGGATTTTTTTTCTGAAAACTATAACATTTTGCATATAAATCACAGCCGATGTTTGGTGTTAAAATTGATTCATCTTGGGAACAGTACTTCTGCGGTTTTAAATTGTGTTTACTTAAAATATTCTTAATAAGTTATTATTAACGTAAGGTGATACCTATTGATGTGACTTAAATTCACCAAAAAGGGATAAATAATCAACATAATGCAAGAAAAATTCAAACTGCCGGACGCATTTACAATTTACATATCCAAAACCAGTACAGTCCAAAATGATCCTGATTTCACTGACAAATATAATATTAATTAAACACATACATATCTCCACGCCCATTTCCCTCAGGGGTTGGGACTATGGAATGCCAATTGCTACGATTCTTACATAGGTATCTCTTTTGCTTCATCAACAGTCATCAGTCTTTTCATGCGTGCTCGTCGGTTAATGGTAGGTGTAAGTTTAATTTAGCCCCTCTGTAATGTATCGCCATTCTGGTCAGTATATATCCGTCTAGGGCGCCGTTTACCGACGGCCTCATTCATATCCGCTCTGTATACTTTTTTCGTTAATCTATTTAATTCACATACGAAATTATTTCGCGTGGGAATTAAATCCAAGCAGATGCTAGCTTTCTTAATAACCAGGTGTATGAGAGGCCTAAACAAGACGTCTATTAAACGAAACAAGAAGCATTGACAGCATCACACTGATACAGACCAAGGGTAGTAGTGAGTTTCACACATGTGAGTGCTAAGTGGGGGCGGCCTGCGGAACGCACCGTTACTACACGGCTGGTGTGACATGCGGCTCACGCGCCGACGTCACCATAAACTATAACCACCATAACCCGGCGCTGGCGCCGTGACCTGTTCACGGTGTCACAGATTACGTACGCCGTGAATAAGGTGATTGTTGTGAATGTTAAGGTGTTTTTGATTGGTATTGTTGGTATAGTTTTGGATGTGGTAAGGGTTTTAGTCCTTATAGCTAGCCTCTCAACAAGTGTAAGGTATGTTTACATGTGCACATGAAGGGCAAGTTAAAATCGATATAAACTATGTTATATTATCATCAATTATAACACAAGCTATTTATTTCCATTATCGTCTCGATTGAAAGGTTGCAATTACAAGTTGGACATTTTATATTGATGACTACTGCATGCTGGTATCGGGGCAAATATCTGAAAATAATATGACAAGACCTGTCCTAAGCTACTCTGATTCATAGCATAGCATTACACGAGTCAATATTATGGGTATTTCCATTTCAAAGTTCAGTTTAGTTAGGTAAAGTTGATCATAAAAACTAATTAAGTACGTTACTGCGCCAGCTAATAAAATAAAGTGATCAAGTAATCGGATGGTTGAATTTGTATTTTTTCTCAACTGTCAAATGGTCGACAAAAACATTTCGCCATGAAATTCACTAATTTGAAGTATTTTGTAGAAATTCGTATGAAATCATCCGCGACCGTCTACTTTAAGTGGTGATTGTCTGAAATTATCTGAAAATAATTATTGTTTTAGAATTTGAACAATACAGACGACCGCAAAATCTAATTAGGATTAAAAATACTAGGTGAAAGAAAGTCGTTTCAAAATTCCACAATATTTACTACTGGAATGTAATAAATGTAACATTCTATTACGATGAGGCTTACTTACTTGAGTGCTTGAGTATAATATTCAGCATCATCATGACAGCCACCGACGTCCACTGCTGAACAGGCCTTACCCAGTTATTTCCAGATAGGTCGACGATCCAGACGACTTGTTGATAGGCATAATATTATGATGCAATAATCCTACATGACTGCTTCGTAGGCCGATTGGTCGCAAGTGCGTCTACTGGGCAAGGGGTCTTTATTCTCGGGTCGGGCAAAGTATTGCTGTTTTTTTTTAACTTCTCAGTGGATCACCTCTTTATTACATGGGCTTCATAATATATAGTAAATAGTGAAAAGTGGGTGTTAAATTGTACAGTTGCATTAAGTGCCGTAATGTGCACCTCTGCACCCCTTCAGGGACAAACGGCGTGATGTTATGTTATGTTAATCCTAAATGAAACAAACCCAGTGCTGGATCAATTTTACGTAGTCCAAAAAATCGAAGTATCGTAGGGATAACCAACGTCCTTGATCGCACATTACGACCTAGTTATACCGCATTAGCTGAGCATGCACGTGAATGTTAGGAAGCGGAAATGAGGCCATTACGATAGGAGATGTAGGAAGCCGACCGAGGCCGAGCAGTTCCGACCGCTGACGAACCGAGCCGAACCGACGAGACTGTGCACGCGCTTACTGTGAAAATTATGCAATAAATGAATTAATTTAATAAAGGAACTGAAATATGATATAATAAGCATCCGTTGTGGTTTCGCAATTTGACCGTCACCTTTTTGGTATGTATTGTTTTAATGTTGTTTTTCTTCCTATTTATGTTTAGTGGGAATAATCATGTTTAGTCCCGTTTTTCAGGAATATTCGTATAGTGAGAGAAAAATGTAAAATGTTCCAAAGTAATGTAGTGAACTTATTGATTAAAACATGTTAAAAGAATTAAATCACAGAATATACCTCAATCCTACTTCCATTCTTTTGACTCCAATTGATTTGTATTCTATGGTTATTTTTTAAAAATCCTCGTAGTACAACAAGTACATTCATCAATTACCAATATATTTCTAACTAAAATACTAGTTATACATGAAAAACAAAACTCATATTTTAACTCAGAAACGTAGATCTATTTGAAACGTGAAGTAAAGTTTTACAAGTGTGCCCGTCAAGTGGCGTGAACAAAAGACATCAACGACATAAGGTGCTACGAACTTGTATCGGCTACGAGATTCTAAAGTGAAGTTACGCGGTATGTTATGTTACTATTTTAATATAATTTACGTTATATCCAGTGGTATGGTAAGATATTTTAGATTTTTGTATAAATACGGTTTGTTGTTTGTTTTCATGAACCTAGATAGATATTTTTCAGGTCGTTTTTTTTGACGTTATCAGTCAACACTGAAAGATTATTTACTTAAATCTTTCGAGAGTGGCTAGAATCTGAATTTAAGTTGCATTAGGTTTTTTGACTACAGATTACACAATTTATAATTTTTAAGCATTTAGATTTCTATCTAGTGATCTTCTGATCACTAAGCGTTTTATATATAATGTGTTTAATCTACAAAGTGAATATGCTCACGTATACTATAAATATTATTACAATTTCCATTACCCAAACAAAATAGAGTAATCTAACTCGATTAAACTCGATCCCGCTATTCTTAACCCCGGGATCGAATGACCCTTCGTGCCTTTCAGTCATCTTAAACCTGCAGGGCTTCATACAAAACAGAGTATTACGCCATGTCGCCCTCTGGATGTGCACGAATAACGGACTCGATTCTCGATCACGAAATCAAAGCGATTATGACGATTATAATTCGATTTAACGATGATCGGAACGTTCGGTATCGATTAATTGCGAGTACAATCACGAACTGGCGCAGTTTATGCGAATGAAATGATAAGGTTGTGATGTAATGCGACTGAGTTGTGATTACGTACTGTGGTATAAACGGAGATATTAGAGAAGGATTTGTAGAGAAGGATAATGTGTAGGGGTGGTTTTTCTCAATAGTATTTTGATACTCATTGTAAAAGGATTGTTTCTGGGTTTAGCTAAGTAGCTACCGATCGATTGCTACTTTTTTCTTGGTTAAAAACTTTTGATTGAAAAAAGTGATTGCCTACAGCAAGAAAGGCGTGATTATGTTTTAGGTAAAATGAGTCATTACTTGAATCTGCTATTTTGTATAACTAACCGAGATCTTTGTCTGAATTTCGTATTGAAGTAGGTATATACGATCGAAATATTAATATATAACTTACATTTAAATTTACTGATCTTAAAAGAAATTGCACAGTTTATCCGAATTCTGATGACTATGAAATGGCACAGCGTGATGTGAATGAATCATCCATTTCGATTAGTTTATCGACATTCAAGGACATTAGAGGTCACGGTTCGATGCTGGGGTCACTGACCTGCACATTATTCCTAATATTATTAAAACTGTAGCGATTGCTTCAAACAACAGACATTAGGCAGATAGAATTGAATGAATTTATTTAGAGAACAAAAAATCTATTGTACTTCAAAGTTATGGATAACGGTAGTTCTTTATTGTAATATTGGAGAATAGTTTATTTTTAAATAAATCTGTATTTAGATTAAGATGACTTCGAATCGATTCGTGGTGGCTGTTGGTTGAAGTTCAATGTTAGAATTGCGTTTCCTTGTAATCATATAGCGCCTTTTTGGCACTTAAAGATGCTATTCACAGGTATGGTAGCATTACAAGTATGTATTTATATTCTGACATAGAATATTATAGAAGGTAAACAAAGCCAAAATTATTTTGCCTACCTAAAGTTTTCTTATGAAACAACAGAACCAGGCTTGAAACAATCTAGAAACACTAATGAAATGTTTTCTACAATCATTGTAAAATTAAGGATTTATATTGGAAAGTTGTATGGGAAAGGGAAGATTAGATATTTACATAAAAGTAGTATTATCGTTCTGACAAATCTTTGGTCATTTACTAGACACGCGGAGAACCTAACGGGTAACCGGGGCTCCGGCTCGACGTGCAGGAGAAGGAACGGGGTGGTTTTTAGTCAGTAAGAGTCTGACACTCCCTTCCGCCTCACCCAGACGGGAGCAGCCATTCGAGGATATTCCCCACTTAAAAAAAAATGACAAGTTATGTACCTATTTTTGATAAGTTCGAACATACATTACTGAATTAAAATTGTGTGTATCACCGAACAAAAATGTACAGTTGACCGTTTAAACAAAAAAATCTTATGCACAGTGTACCGTAAACACCACCGTCCATCGAAGAATTCGTTCACCTTTAACTTTTCAAGAAACGATTCACAATAAATTGAAATTGTTTAATACATATAATATTTTCATCGCAAACTTGTACGTGATTCAACAATTTTATTATTAGATATTGATTCTCTGGGATGGGTCTAATCTTGTGGCCTGTCATTATGGCCGGCCTGTCTTTTGACCCGTCATTAGGTGGTAGCATTACGATTTACGAACAATGCGCCGACAATATGGGTATATCACGAAACTAAGTTTAGCCACGTTTACTTACATTTGTTTGCAAATACAAGTGATCATTAGAATGTATCACGATTCAATTTAGCTCGCAATAATAATATCATATTCAATACATTTCTTTATTTAATCTTCTATTTCAATATTTGTTACATATTGTTCTGTGTAGTGTATATGTGTGTGTAATTAGTTTTTGTTTTATTTCAGATTCTTCATCGTGTGCTGTTGTTTTATTACCTCTAGGGTAAGTTTATTTAATAATTCCAATATTTTTTTTATTTGTATTTGTGCCTTGTTTATGGAGACGGTATAATGAAGCCCTTGGTTAGAGTTTAGTCATGTCAATAAGTAGGAGTAGTTGGACATACCTTGAATTGGTCTCACAATGCAATAAGAGTGAGTTTATTATCAAATCCTTACCTTCTTTTGGAAATCGGGCGTCAACGGTGGGACCTTCATAGTAATGTAAATTAGTATTTAATTACATCTAAGTGATAGTACGCGAAGGATTAACAAAAACGCAACTTATATTTCCATGTAGATGTAGGTTTAAGAGATTTCTCGAAATTACAACAAGAACATAAGAAATTTGACCAAATAAAGAGAAAAATCGAATATAAAGCTCTCTTTTCACCAGGTCCACTCAGCATCACAGCACTTGGACTCGGCGGAATACTCGGAGTCGACGGAAGTGTCCATTGTGTCCGTCTCCTCATCAGCATCAGCCGAACTCCACGAGGGATCTGGCGATGATCCCCCTGACCCTGTACTGTCCAGTAATCTTAAGGTTCGTACATAATTCACAAGTGTATTTATTTATTAAACCAATCTGTCAGTTTATGAAAGTTGGATGTAGTTATTTTCTACACTTTGAATGCTAATGATAACGCCGAAATATCGTATAGCATAGAAACTTTCATTGTACCTAACATGAGTTTTCAAAATCTGTGTTAAAAACCAAATCTGTGCATCCACGATGTAGGTGAAAATTGTGATGTTATTTTTGATTTATAGTTTCTTTATAAATGACTCAACTAACAAAACATTTTTATTTGCAGAATGAAACTAGAGAAGCTCTCAAGAGTGATGGCAGTGAACAAGATCCGGTGAGTACATTGTTTATTTAACAATTAAAAAGAACCATTGACTGTAATAAATAAGTGATAATATTAATTTTATGATCTTTACCATAACACTTTATGTTATTAATGAAAGTGAAACATTTTAAAGGCTGTTTGGTGAATACTCAGTTTCACTTTCTTATACCCACGATTTGGCCACATGAGTAGAAAAACGTACTCATGTGATTCGGCCTTGTAGAGTAACAAGTAGCAACGTGTAATACGTGTGTACATACGAGTTATTACACCGCTACGAACAATGAACTATTCCTTGATATAAAAGAATACGCCACCGCGCGCCCTGTCTCTTTCATCGTGCTTAATGGCTCTGAAAATAGCAGATTTGTTAACTAGAATTTACAACTCAATTATTTCCCAGATTTTTAGATTGTTCAATCTTTTTGTTCGCCAAGTCTCTGACTTGAATATTGGACAGTTGAAAACTATTGTTGTCTTTCAGACGTCTTTGTCAATCTTAACGATGCGTGTTATAAGATCAGTATTATAGAAAAGTTAATAGGAACGAAGCCGGCTTAATTTACTTTCCCCGATGACCTAGGTTAAATAGATTTAAAATAGTTCAGCAAGTAAATTTACAAGACATAGGAAAGTGAATTGTCAGCGATTCGTTTCAATACGAGACTGTGGTGTCAAATAATTACTAGTTTTCACTTTTATACAATTTTCCATAATCGAAAAATGCGTGTATTCGGGGGCACAAAATAAAAGAGTTGCAAGCCAAATAATCGTCACACTTATCACCCAATTACCCGCGGCTTGAACACAGAAGTGGGTGAAAGGTACGACATAATAATCATCAATTTACACCCATTTGAACGACCATTGATGGACTGATTGAAAGAATTCTTCTAAGAATACACGATTCGACACAGTATCTTTTCCTTTCATTTTGCAGAATTGCTGCACTTATTTGTGACATTGGTTTTACGGTCAATCTGTAAAGAAAGAACGTATGGTATGAGGCTTAGTTTACACGACAGCGGACTACTTCGGGATGCAATTAAAATATAACAATGCACACGCAGGTGTTGCAGCTTGCAGATTACGAATTTCAATTTATCTATTTGTCACAGTTAAGTGATTGGTGGAAAATGGTAATTTTGTTTGTATTTGGTTGTTATTGGGGAATAGAAAGGCGTGAAATGAAGGTTTGGAGGTGAGGAATAAATTGAAATATGACGTTGATTGGCTAGCTGCGGGGCTATTATTTCTGTTTCACGCGTGAGTTCCCGTGTGCTACGCATACGGTGGCAGTCAGCAGGTTGCTCAACGCGCTCGTACTCTAGCGACCGACTGAATGGAGGAGGCCACGCCGCCGCCGCAGCCTCAGAGGACTTGTGCAATATACAATATTCACGTTGCGAAGGGCTTGTCTAATCTGATTAGGTTATCATCTGTAGTTCCGCTCCCAATTTATGGAGTTTTAATATTCATGCTGTATATTTTTTATGAAAGACTAAGTGTAAACGTTATACTTTAGTTTTCAAACTATAGATATGTTTATCTGTTACCCTTGATAATTGTCATTAAATTTTACTAATTAATTCTTTATTATTATCATGAATAAGACTATCAAAATTGTTCATCAAAGTTAAAATGTTGTCTATATTCTTATCAAAATTGTCATTTCACACCATAAAACACAAACAATTTACTGAGCTAATCGAATTAAGTCGTGAGGAACGTCCGCGAGTGTTACGCGCTTTGTGTATTTGTGTTAGTACCGCGATATCCATCTGTGACCCGTGTTCAAGTGGCAGGATAGCTGTTCTTTGACTCACATTGCATCTAAACCATGAACGATGCGACGATCACACACCGCGTGGCCTACTAACAATAACATCCCTTGCATTCAATTAAATCCTAAATAATTACGTCTTACAAGATTTGTCAAACATCTAAAAGAAATTTAGAGGACTTAAGTATCTAAAGAGATAAAAATTAAGCCAATTCAAATTTCAGTTACCCTGAGGTAATAAAGATAACAAACGGAAGTTCCATTCAGAAGTCGTTCAATGATTCCATAGTCGTAAAGTTTGATTGTCAACTTGTCAATATTAAGTTTTAATTGTAATCATGCCGTGAAATACAAATGGTTACGGCTCGACCGACATTATTTAAATTGGATAACAGTTATAGGCATTCATTAAATTCTTTATTACGTTGTAGTACCTGTGTTCAATATAACGTGAATACATAAGTAACGCTTTTAAGTAAGTAAATATGAATAAAGCACATGAAAATTGAATGAAAGTGTTCCCGTTTCGAGGCATTTCTATTTCGACGGATAAGCGATGTCTCGGCGGACTATGATGTGGCCTGAAAGGTTTTATTTGTTGTTTTATATTAGTTGGAATCAATTTGTCAAAGTGATGTGGCGACGGGCGGCGCTTATCGCACTCCACTGGCCCAATTTTATAATGCGTAGGTACTGGCTGCCGGCGTGCGAACTGCCCTGGCATACTTACAGCCATTTACGTCTTTTTTGTGCAAAACTTTCAAGGGGTCGTGACTGTGAAATGGTGAATTACCGACGCCGTAATTCGTTAGTTTATTTTGAATTTTTTCTTTGGTAAGATAATGGATGCAATCTAGTTGCAGGTCGGTCACTGAGTGACTAACGGTTTGTTCCTGAATATTTTCTGTTTGTCTGTTTGTAAAACGTTTAAGGTGTTAATTAGCGCAGGTTGTGATATTTGTTGAAGGTAGTCAAAAGTCGCGTGTGCCGGAAGGTGGTAGTTAGGCTTATGTTATCTCAGGGCTATCTGATTGCTAAACCTCCAGCGTGGCGAGTGTTCTTCATGTATGGAATGTAATACAAAACGAGTAATATTCAATTAAATATGGTAACAATGTAATACAGCATAACTGTTGTGCCAGTTTTAAACGTTCTTAAGGGTCAGTTTCGCAATTTCCGAGAGATGGTCAGCCGTCTATGAAGTTTAAGAATTATGTTGTTATATTTGCCATGAGTAAATTATTATTATTAGCTGTAATCTAGAGTTTAGCAGCTTAGCTCTAACCTTGGCACAAAGACACGTGATGTTAGTGAGTTTATGAAACAACGGATACGGTGGTTGACACTGCTCTGATTATGTGCTTGCGATTAAATGTGTTGTTCTGCATCTTTTTAGATTTGATGGAAACTGAACTTTAGTCTATAACTATCGCCATGGTTCTTTAGAACAGTTTTTGAAATTTTAGTTGGTTTAAAAAATATTCGTAATTTAACTTATTGAAAATAGATTCGTTTTCTAAAATATTCCGTACGCGTCAGGAACTGTTCAGGTTTAAACTTTTAAAACGCAAAAGGTGAAAACTTTGCTGAATCTTTGTATTTTATGAACAGGTGGTATTTCTATCGGAGAAGAACAGCTACATTCCAGTGAGCATCAAGCCTCGTTCTCCAGCAGTGGACACTGCGTGGAGAGAGCCACCAGCATGGGAGCGAGAGTACAGGAGACATCGGACTAATGGGAGTAGAGTGCAATGTGAGTTGAGTTCTTTTTTATTTATAGGTACTATATTCTTGAGTCAGACTACTAATTATTAAAAATAGTTAAGGTTAGAAGGAATGAAGATGCTCTTTTCACAATAGACTATCACAAGTAGTCAGTGCCTGAACGGATTATGTTTAAAATCGGCCTGTTATTTCAGTTATTTGCTCCGTTTCTTTGACTTGTGATATCTACTTAAGTCAACGAAAGTTGTAAAGTTTCAGGTTGTGTAATCTTACTGTTACTGAAAAAGTTAAACCAAAATAGTGTATCCGAAGTTAACTATTCTTTTATTCCCAAATAGTGCAAATTGAGTCTATTTGATGACAATCACATTACTCAAATACCAAGTCATGTAACTACAATACAAAACTATCGTGCTCTATGGTCATATAAGGACAATAGTATCTGCATAATCGGTGTCGTTGTGCGTTCTGAGTCCTGACTCATATGAATAGTTCAGTAAAAACTAATAAAAAGCCACACAAAGGGTTGCGCAAGCGACGCCACGCGTTCCATAAGATACCATCTCAATTTGTACGGTTACACAATATTATACTTAAGTTTTTGTAAAGACGATGGTTGTTGTTACTCATAAAAATAGTTGTTTAATGAAATATAGTAGTTTACAAATGTAGTAATATAAATAAAGTAGGATTAATATGAAAGTTATAGCTCTGTAGCTATTGCTTGTGAAACAGCGTGAGTTTACAAATGTTTGAAAAATAAGTAACGTACGATGTGGTATGTAGTGCTACCAATTCATAAATGTGTCTTTGCCATCAGATATTGAAGCAGAGTGCCAAGATGACTTCATGAAGATAAGGGTAGGCTTCAACGGATCATTCTCCGGACTGGTGTATTCAGCAGGTCAGTTCCAGGGTTCTAGCTAACTAATTCACATATTAAACACGACATAATTATATGTAGGTTGCCCGATGAAAGTACAAAGGAACAAATTAGCTAATTGAAATATGCAGGCCAATATTAGTGACAGGCTGACGTATACCGTGAGTAGTAAAAGTAATTTTAACATTATTAAGTCTTTCCAAACAGGGGGAGGATATCAATTTCGTTATTTGTTGTGTCTTGGGATCCACCTCAAATACGATTTCTCGATCTTAATACGTACCTAACAAAAGTTACCTTATGTCCCTCTATTTGTCAGAAAATGTGAGTCTAATCAACCGTTATTACACTTAGGAAAGATCCTAGCTAAGTTAGCTAAAAATCGCGGGTTACTCACGTGAATATACTGAGAAAAGCCCTACTAGTTTCGAACCACAGAGGGGTTCTTCCTTATGGGGGCTTTATGAGCAGAGTGCGCGGTCGGCGCGATGTCGCACAGCCTACTTTACGTGATAACCCGCGATTTTTAGTTAATTTAGTATGTCTCACGATAGTTATTATAAAAAGGTTCCTAGCTATCTAGAGCTATATTTAACGCAGATAGCTGAAACAATTATCCGTGTAGACTAGACGAGTGTCATTATCAAGTTATTGTTACTTACGTCTCGGCGTCACTCACACAATGTCTGTTTGTTCCTTTGTATATTAAGTTGTGGAGTATGAATGAGATAGAGACTTCACGCTTTTTTGAAATTCATATAAATGTTGAATGGCAAATGATATTTTGGTGACATAATCCTGAAACGTATCTTAAATAAATTTTGTTTATCTGTCATGGATTGTATTGCGTAGACCTAAATAGTCGAATATTGATCAATTGAATAAAATAAATTGAATTGATACAATTTAAAAACCAAAGTGTATTTGAAAGCCTCACCCCGTGCCATACAGCCATTTTTGCCTAATTCCCAGCCATATGCCTTACTCTGCTTCAAAATATATTCACAAAATTTTCGCACGTTACTTTTATTGCACGCATTTTCGCACGCACGTTCTCACATTAGCTCTCCATTTACTTACTACTCTGTGTTCGTACTACATGTTTGTGTTATCGTACTAACCTGTCAAAGGGCACGACCGTTATGTCAGATTTGATGATTTCGCGAGACGTGATTGTCGCTAATCGAGTCAGCATCGCTGGATGAAATGTTCTCATAGTACTAACGGTACAAAAGGCCTGCAAACAAATAGACTATGAAGTAAATCGCACTGGCTATCACCAAACTGTCTCAATCGATCTGTTTTGGTCCGGTTGCGATGTTTGGGTGTCTCAATCTAAATTATTTTTGTAGTACGACTGCTTAAGTTTGTTTTTGTATGTAGTAAGCAACGGTTCGACGATTTTGTATGGTTAAGATTGCTTCGAATGCATCAATGTTGTAAAATTCGGCAGGAGTAGATTTGTATATTTAGCTTCATTATCTTCATTTTTAAATGACTTATTTTATTATATTATGCAAACGGTGATAAACGCTTAACGCACGAAATTTAAAATAAATACGATTGTCTTCTTTTTTACCAACATCTGACCTTGAAAATGATTTGCACGCATCTCAGAGCTAGATCATCGGGCCGACTTAATCCGCGTCGATAAAACCTAAGTGTACCACAGAGTCACGGGAAAACGTTTACTATAAACCTATAGACTATAGAAGCTATTACAAGATTACTAGATATTAAATGTACAGTATTGTAAGTGTATAATTTGCCCTCTTAGTGTGAGATTAGCATTGTTTAGTGATTCGTGGGACAGTCGCTAACTTGATTCGCTCTACCGTTACACGCTTGAAGGAATATGAAATTACCACCTTTTAAAAAGCTTTTATTTATATTATGTTGCATGTTTATTTCTTATTTTTAATGTTTGGCTTAGATTTTATTGTTCTTTTATTTGTAATGGGAAGTCTAGATTTTGTGACGGATGTTTCCGGGGTTGTGATGAAGCCGATTAAGAGGTTAATAGCAAGGTTCTTAAAGCGAAATACATCATTACGTCTTTATTGGGCTTAAATATGCTTTATTAGTTTATATGATTGTCATATAGGTATTATTATAGCAACAATGATTTCAATTTTTCCTAAATGATCAAACATAAACACCGATTTCGCTAATTTCCTTTATTTGTAGGAAAGGAGAAAAAATTCGAAAATTATATCAAAAAATGTAGCACCCGAGTAAAGGCGCTTTAGACCGCTAGTACTTACAATTACTTACTTAAATTGATGTCTTAATAAAAGTAGAAATATGTCGAGCAGCCATTAAGGTGGCTAATGTCCATTCATAATTAAGTGTACAGTAGTAACAGGAGCTTTATGAGCTGTTGAATGGCACTATAAAAGTAATTAGGTAGTGTTTGTGACCATACTCGTAGTTACGTGAACTATGTCACTGTTTTACCTAAATGTTGTATTATCTAGGTGTAAGTAAGCACGTTTAGCGCGGTTTCGGTTTCATAGCACTTTCTTTTAAAAAATCTCATCTTACTTTTATGGCTGTGGTTAGTTCACTGTTGTTTTTGCTCGAAATTAAAAACTGATTTCAAAATGCTTTGGGTTGATGTTTATATTTGACATTATATATCTATTAATTTTTGTCTAAAACTTAGATTAATTCTGAGATTTTGGATAGAGGCTGTGAATAATTAATTATTTGTAGGTCATTATTAGATGAATTGTTTATTGGTGGGATAGTACAATGACATTCAAATTTTAGGAAGACTAGGTTTTACGGAATCCAAAAAAAGAGATAGCAAGGACAGTTGAATTTGAATAAGTAAGAGAGTGAAATATGATTGAAAATAATTAATTTATTATTACTTTTGCAGGTTACTCATACGATCCGGACTGTATGTACATAAACGGCACGGGGCGTGATTACTACGAGTTCTACATCCAGCTCAACAGATGTGGAACATTGGGGAGGAACGGTCAGCATGATGATAGCAGGAAACATCCCACTGTGAGTAGATATTGTTATTGATTTTCTGTCTTATTAAAAATCTGTACTTGTGATAAGGAAAGTGTACTAGTCCACTTTTCTTTGGCATTAAACGTCACACCTTCGCATATTTTTCACAGCAACATTAAGTAATGTAAATGGTGAAATAGTTCATCACAAATTTTTTTAATTTTGTCTTAAGTTAAATTGGAAATAAAACATAAGTTCATGTTCATGAATCATTCGCCTGATGTGAATCATTGACACCAAAATAATGTGATTGTGCCTTATAGAAGGATGCACATAACTTCGACTACATTTTATAATCTTGATTTTAGTAGATATGCAACTGCAACTGCTCTAAGGTTATTTATATAATTCAAGGTTATATCTTCCTTGTACACTTATGAGTATAATAACTCTTAAGAATAAATATGTTATGCACATAAAATGTCAATAACCCTACAAGGACAAGTAATATGAAGAAAATGTATACTTTAATACCATATTTGGTAAGGAACTAGGGAGATTAGTGATCTATATGATGTTGTTTGCAAACAGAAGGCAGTGTGAGAATATACTAGGCTTATTTTGTACTAGATCTGTGGGCATAAGATTTTAAGGCGCACGTACGTTACTGAGCAGTACCATTACCTCGGCGATACTATCTTAGGTCGAGATGATGGGATGATGTTGATGATATTCGCACAACAATCTTTCTGTTTCATTCCTCTTGTTTTGTGAATAACAATAAGCTTTAGGTACCTATCTATTTTATGCGTAGCAAAGTCTATGGAACAACGAAGCCAAGCAATAAAATACCTCAGATGTTGATTCTGTGCCTGATCTTTGTTGGCTTAATGTCTTCAGTGTCTGCCTTAAAAACGTTAAGGATGAGTCCAGATCTACAAGCATGTATCGTACGAACATGAATATCACCACTGCTAAAATAATACTCTTGCAGGCACTCAATAAAACCAGCTACCTTTCAATAAGTCTTATTAAAATTCTATTACCTATTTTACTCTGACAGAAGAACCTCATGTGGAACACGATCACAGTGCAATATAACTCGTTGATTGAAGAGGAGCTGGACGAGCACTTCAAGGTCACCTGCGAGTATGGATACGACTTCTGGAAGACTGTCACATTTCCTTTTTTGGACGTAGAGTGAGTAAACGTTGGTATTTTTAGCGAAAACATAACTTTAAATCGAAATTCAGGTGTTTGTCAAGTCCACAAAATGTAATAATTATTGAAGATCATCAAAAATGAGCAAAAACACTTTTCTCCTCTAAAATTTGGCACAGTTGTGGTTTCTGTAACCTATGGATGATCTACTTTAAATCGGTAAATTGCGTGAGGTTCTCGCAAAAATTTCTTTTCAGTTCAATTTCATTGCGAAAAAGTGAAATTTCAAATATTTATTTATTTTATTTCCAAACCACAAAAATGTTCGCAAAACCATGGCTGATCGGATTTGTCGCTGAGGCGTCGCGCACGCATGATCTTGTTGACACAGATTGTGATGCGGTTATCTGTGACGATCGGTGATAAAATGAATTATCATAACCATAACTGCATGTAATCGGGGAACTGGATTTTATGGCAAACTGGGGCATTGAAGAACCCATTTCTTTCTGGTGCATTTTTCCGTAATTAGGTGGGTCAATCAACAGCATTTTTGTAACACTCGAACTGAGAAATCTAATGGTTCGTTTCAAAAGTGTTGTCATTTAAAACAGCTATACAATTACTTGTTACTATAATATTTTCAAAAATCAAGATTTTCAAATGTAACTCCTATACCAGTATACCTATCTTTTTTTTCTATTCTAACAAACTTTTTAGGGGCTTTTATCACAGATATGTCAGCCCCATATCCATTGTAGTGTGTTTCGATTTTCGATTATTAGACACACCAGTGTACCTATCTAATAATCGAAATTAAAGTTACGTATACTCACCTACTTACTTCCGTCATATTCCAGGGTGGCGACAGGCAACCCAGTCGTGTTTACACTGCAGCCACCTGAGTGCTACATGGAGATCCGCTCCGGGTACGGTGCCAATGGAGCGCGCGTATCTGGGCCCGTGCGCGTTGGAGACCCACTCACCTTGCTTATATACATGAGGAGCGCTTATGGTAAGTATTCATGTATTTGAACACAATTAGGATATTTTTAGGGTACCACCTACACCAATTTGTTTTTGTCTGACCTTTAGCTAGGGCCGTGTACTATACTTAGATAAATGTATATGGGTACAATATTTTCCAAGAAAGTAAAACATAGATAATATCTAGAACTGTTTATGCTTAGGTAGTGTAGATTTCGTAGAGTAAAGCTACGAGGAAACAAATCATGTAAATCGATATGGTTAGTCAAACTAAATACCGGTAAACTAGCTATCGGTTATTGTCATCAGCAGTTACATTTTTACCGTAGTACAAGTGAACTACATAATTTTAGTATCAATAACAATTAAATACCGTAACTTAAGGGCGAGTATCGTAACGGTCGCGGCTAACATCGCATGTCTGCTTGCAATGCGGCTCCAGAAATATTTCAATCAGTTTTACTTAATTAAGATCTTGCGTTTTTCGTAAATTTTATTATATGGAACGGTATGGGAGCAATGGCGCTCGGTGAAGTATGTCAGAACATTTTTAGAAGGAATTGTTTAGGAATAGCTGGTATTCACATACCTTCGTAAACACTAGCTATTTTGGTTGGAGGCACTAATTTCAAAATTACGTAAATAGATATATGGATCAATAGTTTATTTATACCCAGGCAGTCAGGCCACGATCATTGTGAAATAAAAAAATAATCTGGCCACATCGGAGAGAAATTTCTGTGCCTCTACATATTAATATAATTTAGCTGTCACTGAATATAGCTTTAGGGTTTCTTTGATTACAATTACAAGAATTTTATATCAGTTTAATGTTTAGGTTTAGAACCACTGTATTTACGTAATTAAAGGTAGATTAAAAATGAAATAGAAAATATTTGTTTATTGTTACAGTTGACATCAGAACTTTCAAGGAATTTCGAACTTAAAATGTAAATTTTATTGTTTTTGTTTATTTTTAGATGGATTTGACATTGTCGTGAATGACTGCTTCGCTCACAACGGTGCAACCAAACGGATACAACTTATTGATGAATATGGGTGAGTTAAGGTTTTTTAATTACCTATCATCATTAAAGTTTTCAAAAACACCTACCTACATAGTGTTCATTGAATATTATGATTTGATTGTGAGATTTTGTTATTTATTATACTGGTACACTGCCTATTTATAAAGGTTTAAAATCACCTGCTACTGTCTCTGCACTGCTTAAAGGTTGACTGGGAGATAATGTCCATGGTATTAAGTCCACCTATACACATTTGTTGTATGAAGTTGATATAAATAAATAAATATAGTGTTGTTTTATATAAGCACGTGTTGTAAAATCTAGTATTTATTTTGCGGTATCGTGAGCTGTCGTTACATTAAATGTGCAGAAGCTTATAAAATAGTATGCTGTCGAATTGAAAAACCTCCTCAATATTTGACGTCGGTTAAAAAGTGATAAAACAATAATTATTGTGGTAACTAGAAACTCTCAATTGTTGGTAACTTTAATAGACAAAATTATTAGAAATTTTCCACTCTCCAGTCCATATTTGGTATAATCTTAAAATGATGATTTTTCTATTCTAGTTGCCCCGTGGACGACAAGCTGATCTCCCGTTTCCGCGGCTCATGGTCCGAGTCAGGCGTGTTCGAGACGCAGGTGTACGCATACATGAAGACGTTCCGGTTCACTGGGTCGCCTGCACTTTATATCGAGTGTGACGTCAGAATGTGCCATGGAAGATGTCCTGTGAGTATCTTCAACTTTTATTAAAAACATTGTTCTTTAAAACATGAGAATGTCTAAATGTTTCTGATGACGTGATGACTATACACCTGCTATGTGTAACTTAATACTCTTACTTTGAACTTGAAGTGACTATTTTTTCATCAATCATAATCTTAGATTTCTTGTTCGTTAATATCTAAACTATTGGCATAGTATTCATACATAAGGGATAGTCAGTCTACATAATTTACCAGCCATTGAATCCAAATCGATTTCATAATTTTCTATAAATAAAAAAACAAAAGTATTTTAACCATATACTTAGATGATGTTTATTCATACATTTTTCTCAATTCTTGATTTCAGTCGCAACCTTGCCACTGGCGTAACATGAAGAGCGTGAAGCGGCGATCTATTGAAACGAAGCCAGGCTTGGACCCCGCCTCCAGTGTCGCTCCACGTCTCTCCGAAAACATATCTCTATTTCAATCACTCAGAGTACTGCAGGAGGGCGAGGAAGATCCAGAACTAGCTGCCAGCACAAGCGGTAAGTAGTAAAAGTTATATATTATAATCTTAACATGCTTGGAGACGTTGAGCAAAAGTCTCTTCCAAGTCCTATCATTAGCTTAGCTAAATGATAATACTCAATAATCCTCATGCATCTAACACAACTGTTGCTCCTAAATGGAATGATATTATCGTTTCACCTTGGAGGTATGCTTAAAAATGGAACATTGGGGATGTGGTTGCACTGCAATCTACTTTTTTATCTGGAATCTTTGTTTTTGAAGTTGGACATGGAATATCAGGAACATCCGTTCTATAACTGTCATGCCGTTTTTGCCGACATTTTCAAAACCCCAAAAAATTTGCAATCTCCTAGGAGTCACATTTCTGCACTCATCATAGTTGGAACTATCAGTTAGTAGAGTAAGTTCCTTAACAATAATACTTCTTACTGTTTCCAGTAGCTCCAGAAGGCCAGACTTGTATGAGGACATCAGCGTTGTCAGCCATTATGGTGTCATGCGGGGTGCTTATCGCTGCCCTATGTGGAGGCGTGCTAGCGGCCGCGAGAGGGTTCAGGCGCGGAGAACCAAGGACACCCATTCATGCATATGTGCCCCATAAAGGACGGATCAAATAAAAATCTAATTTTGAGTATAATTCCTCATCCTAAGATTGTGAGTGAAATTAATATTTTAGTGTAATGGTTGTCATTGCTAGAAGTAGATTCTTGATACTCCTTAGCCTAAGAAACAACCATTTCATGAATCTATTTGAGATTATCGAAAAATTTAGATCGATAGTTGCCTAAGTATTTGAATCTAATTTTAATGTCAATGCAAGATCCTTGCACTCATGCTCTTTAAATAGCCATAGAGCCTTTTCCAGTATGTATTTCTATTAGGTATGTAAGAATTTCCACAATTATTTTTTTAGTTTGCTAGTTTTTCAAGCATTTAGCAAACCGTGGTATGTACCAATTACAGTTTAAACTATAGTACGTACCTACTTGACCCATAAGCATCTCGACATTTAGATCCTTTAAACTGTCAAACACCAAGCGGTCACCGGTGACCGCAACCTATTGTTCTATAATGTCGCGGAGAACCTAACGGGTAACCGGGGCTCCGGCTCGACGTGCAGGAGAAGGAACGGGGTGGTTTTTAGTCAGTAAGAGTCTGACACTCCCTCCCGCCTCACCCAGGCGGGGGCAGTCATTCGATGATTTTCCCCCCTTAAAAAAAAAAAAATTGTTCTATAATTGTGTCTATAATGACGGTACTCGACGAGTTAAGTATATTATTTGACCATTCTCTAGAAAGTACAATTGAACTATAGTACTAGTAATTCGTACCAAAAGGTACAATGGTGCCTTTAAATTGCTTTTTTAATTTCGACTTCATATAACTAGCAATAAGGTTTAGATTACAACAAATTTTAGGTGTAAAAATTAGTTTTAAATTAATTTATGCTCGTTATTGTAATACTAAGACAAATTGTGAGGATCTATATTTTATGTAAACAAAATATACCTCCTCCGTTTGTCTGGCTATTTATGTATGCAGTTCTCAAAGTTGTGATAAAATAAGTATTAAAATAGAGTTAACTACATCGTAAATTATTTAGTAATACAACGAAGCTTATTTTTTATCTGTATTTAGTGTAATCAGTATTGCCAAGTTTAAAAAATATTGTGTTAATTATTCAAGCTTAGATTTTTTCTATTATTGGTCTTGAATTTTTCTAAATATTAAAATTAATCAAATAATAGTTTTTTATCGTGTATCTTTTAATAAGTAACAAGAGTACATACCATATCAAAGTAATGTCATCTGTAGGGCAGTTGAAATAGTATATTCAGATTAATTTATTTTTCAGTTTGTAAATATTAGTTTAAGGTTTATTTAAATTAGCTTATTTTAATTTTAAATACTTTCTATTATTTATACGAATGAAATGTATCTAAGAGTAATAAATAAGTATTATTAGGTACATTTTAAAACGAAAAATTAAATAATTTATAAACTTATGTTTTGTTTTATTCATTGAAGTATTTTTTTTACGTTTTTATAATGTGGTGGCGGAGGTTTACGACGCCTGCTTCTCATGCATGCGGCTTGGAAACCTACTAACGGCAAGTACCAATGTAACTTTTCCGAGTTATATGTACTTTCTAAGATTATTTGGACACCACTGACAAACGATGAAGAAAAGCATCGTGAGGAAACCTGGGCTTATAATCTCTAATTATCAGTCTGAAATAGCCAGCCCGCATTGAGTAACCCGCGTGGCGACTAATGCTCAAACCTTCTTCACGTGAGAAGAGGCTTTGCTCAGCAGGGGGCATTTATAGGCTGTTGATGAATTAATGATTGAACTATTTTTAAGTACCTATTATTGACCACTAGAGAACTCTGCATACGTTCTTACTCGTGATATTCCTCTTCCTCGTGATATAATGCCCTTATTATAGCCACCTTTTTCATTTTAATCTGATAGAAGCTACATTTACCCTATTTTGAAAATCCTCATGGTGTCCTAGTACCTCGTATTGTAAGTGTCAAAGTGATTTAGAGAGATTTAATAGAGAACCTACGTCATATAATAAAAAGCATTTGTAAAGAACACAATATTAAGTATATTAAAATAATAATTGCACACAAAAAGTAAGTACATTACAACTAAAAAACAATGATAAACACACAAACAATATAACAAAAAATCCCAGTGATTGAAATTCGTTGTAACTAAATTATTTAAGTAAATAAATCTAATATATAAAAAATGTCGAAGGTACTTGAACGTAGTTATGCAAAAATGTCCCATTGCAGAATGAGTCCTAACGTTTTAATCCTAAGCATAACTATGTATGGATAAGCAAGTAGAAACAATTTCTAAAATATTAAAAAAATATATTAAAAATAACTAAAAGTATCATGTTTTATGAGTCCCCTTTCGTATCCGGGGGTAACGTCAGTAAACGCGTTGTTTTACGTCAGTTTATTGTAAAGCCGTGGCAGCATACCCTTCCGAATTTCGTATTTTGATATCTAGTAAGGAAACATATATGTGACTTATGTTACATTTTTGCATGTCTACGTTTATTTGTAGCCGTAAATATACAAATACTGTCATGATTTTTTTATCGCACTTATACTTATAAAATTCAATGAATTTTAGTCAAAATATTTATATTTTTTAAGAAAAATAGTAGGATTTACATAATCTAGTTGATCTCGTTTTGAGCTGGATAGAAAAAAAAAACAATAAATATAATAGTAAAATCAAGTTTAAAACAAAATGTTAAAAAGAGATATTTACAGCATCTTTATAAAGGTGTGTCCATACTATTGTACAGGCACGCAATGATCGTCAAATGCGACCGAAATAATGCGATTTTAATTTCTGCTTTTTTCAATACGTAAACTTTAAATAGCAAATATTTGCGATAGATACTTTAAAGCGAAAGTACTGAATTATAGTACTAGATTTTTGTGACATAGGTATGTGTCAAGTATATATGTGCTGGAAGATTCATATGATATGGGATATTGTCAACAATTAATTATTTGATTTCTCCTCAGCGGCAGCGGTGGGTAATTTGCTTATAGTCTCTTCCAGATACTTCATGGCACCCTCTAACATTTGTACTTCGCATTTCTTTAACAGCTTTACATTTTTCCTGAAATTTGAATACACAGTTCCTTGAATTGCCATTTCATGAATGCATGTCGTTATAGTATTCCCGGTTTATTTTGAGAATGTCTCTTGTTTCCAAATAACATAACATCACACCGTTTATCCCCGGAGCGATAGGCAGAGATGGACATTATGGCGCTTAATGCAACTGTATAATGTAACACCCATTTTTCACTATTTATGTTATGAGTCCCATGTAATAGGGAGCGAGCCTATTGTCATATACCAGGCAGGCGGGCACAGTTCCAGACTCCGTGTTACTACTGAGAATTTTAAAAACCCAGTAATATTTGTCCCGACTCGGGAATCGACCCCGAGACCCCTTGCCCAACAGTAGCACTTGCGACCACTCGGCCAACGAGGCTGTTGTTTTTCCAAATACTTCCTCTAAAATACCATTTTCAATTTTCCTTTTCCAAAATATCTCTATTCTACTACGAAAGTAGCTGTGAGTTTCTGAGAAAAAGACATCTTGAGATAGGGTTTTATGGTTTGTTAAGTAAAACTACAAATTATACAATACACATACCTATGCAGCGAAATATCATCGCCGCCTCTAGTCTCCTTGTAGGAGGCCACGATGAGCTTGCATCGTGTCAGCAGGTACGTGTAAGCGCGTCGGTCGATGTCGGCACCCACTGCTTCAGCACTGGACGGGTCAGAGGACACTAAATCCCCTGGCAATCCTTGACCAGACCATTTCGTTAATTCCTCTGAAAAAAATTTGTTTGTTTGAGTGAAAGAGAGGTTACAAGTAAAATTATTGAGTAAGATGATTAACTGGAAATGCAAGTCTACCTCCGTGGTGTATTATTTGCTAGATAATATTTTAGGAGACTCGATAGAAACATTGGAAAAATAGCATCGGTTAGTTAGATCATGAAATTACATCGGGTAATACCTCACGATTGACATTACTATAAATATGATAATTTTTTGTTTATAAAACTTAATCAATCTTACTATACACAATAGGTGCTGATATAAATCAGCACCTATTGTGTATATTTGTAAGATTTTCTTTACGATATTGAAAATTTTCTCACTGTCTATGGCGAACGAAATTCAAAGTAAGTCTGTGAAAGTTGTTCTGTTTGTTATAATCTCGCGGTTAAATTGGGTTTGATGGTAATTTAGTTTTGACAATTGGGTTTGTCTGAAAACGGACAGGTTCAATCTGTGATATACTATTATATGGAGTTTCTTGCTCGTTCTTCTCCATTCGAAACTACACTTTGGAACGAGCGCCTAGCTCCACTGATAGATAGACGGACGGACAATTCAATTTTTGACATTTCATAAGTGCCTAATTAAGGATTAATTGAAATAACA